TATCCTCTCAATTCTCCCCTGAAGAGAACTCAGCCTTAGCTGGACACAGCTCGAGTTTGAACGCACACCCTGTTGTCTCCTAGACAGGGGTGAACTACAACATCCTGCTGAGGCTGCCTCTCACCGATTCTCCCCATCTCATACAAAAAAAATAAAGATCAACTGAAAGGTGATAAAACCCACTGCACTGTTGTTTCCCACGTAAAACTGACTCCACTGACAGTTTTTGTACGTTTCTTCATGATCAAAATCCCTACAGTTTTCTTTTCCTACCACCAATCTACATGTTGAAGTCTCAGAGGAGCTTTCAGTGTGGCACTCATTCTCACCCTGTGCCTCCTAAGCCATTTCTCAATGCAAAGTACACAAAAGCATTCTTAAAAGAAGACACCTAATAATTAAAACACGAGATTGCAATAGGGCACTTTGATACCAACAGAATCCCAGCATGTCAGGTGCTCCTAAAAAAACAAAACAGCTCTACTGAAGCACCTGGCAAAGCTATTTGAAAAACCTATGAGGGAATTGTAATAATGAGAACAGTTTACTCAAAAACATGTAAAACTTTTAATCTTAGATCAGTTATTCTGAAATATGAACAAGCTGGCCTTTGGGAAGGATCAATAAGATGAAGATTCCAAAGAATCTGCAGATCTACATGCAGATGCACTTTAGACTACAAATACTAACCCTAATCCCTCCAGATAGAAGTGTAGGCAGAACACTTGGGCTGGATTCCCTCCATGGCTGTCAGCTCCCTAGCTGACCATGTGCTGTCACATCCCTGCATGCCTCTGCCTCTCACCACCCAAGATTCAGACTCAAATCAATTGAAAGAGGTAATTCACAACTGTAAGCTTCCAGAGCACTTTCATATCTGTGGAAAAGACAATTTACTTGTGCCTTGTGATCACTACAGCACAAATTACTCCTTTACATGTAGCTTGTCTACTGGAGTGCCACAGGTTTTGACTTTGATTAAAGCAAGGCCCACGAACAATGCAGACGCTGAGAAAACAACTCAAAGAGCTCATTTTATACCTCTTTTCTCCAACAAAATGATTGCCAATGGGAAATCACCTCCAGTTTTTTCTGTTAAATAGTGTCTAAGCTCAAAATGGCTGATCCTACAGTAATCTGAAGAGCAGTGCCTTTACCCATCACATCTCTGACAAACTCCGGGGGAGGCCGTGGCGCCCACTCATTCAGCTTCTCAGGAATTGGTACAGTCTTTTCCTGTAAGAACAAACCAACCATCAGCATCCTCCGGGGGCAACACCTACAGTTCTAACACAGGATGGAACGTGCATGCCCGCAGCCTCTTCCACCACAGGGCAGACCCCAGAAGGAGCATAGCTGTGGATACATCTCCACTGACAGGGAGCAGGCAGAAAGCAGGAACCAGAGGACACCTCTCAGGACAAGGGTCAAGACGCCTCATTAGAGCCCAAGGGTTGAGATTTCCCACCAGCTCCCGGGAAATGCACAGCAAGAGGCAGACATCGGAGCCCCGGGCTGCCCCATTCCCCGCAGGGCGCCTACTTCCCTCACAGCCCAGGGTGGGACGCGAGCTCAGTACCCGTCCCTTCGCGGCCGCAAGCACGAAGCCGGCCCGCTTCCCGTCCCCTCACCGGGTTCCTCATGAGGCGCTCGAGGCGGAGGCGCTGCTCCTCGGCGGCGTTGCGAGGGATGACGAGCGGCTGCGGCTCCTTGCGGGGCCGGGGCGGGCGCGGGGCCGAGGGCGCCGCCATCTTCCCGTCCCACAGCGCCCCGCCCACTTCCGGCGTCGCCACGCAAGACGATGGGCGTGGCCGCCACGATGGGAGCGGCCTGTAATGGCGGCAGGCCTGAGCCCTCCCCTTTTGCCAGCCCGCGCAAACTGCTCGGAGCGTTTCAGAGGAGGTGCAGGAGGCAGCGTGGGCTGCGTGAGCTGTGCGAGCTGTGCCTCAGCCTCCTCAGCCTCCTCAGCCTCCTCAGCCTCCTCAGGGCTCGGGTATTCGCTGTTAGGGAGGCCTAGGATGTGTCATTAGTAAATGCACACTGCACAAGTGATGCCCCCTCAGGCATGGCGAGGGCTGTTAGGAAGGAGCAGGCGGTGCGCTGCGGCCTTGCTGGAAGCTGAGGGCTGCTCCGAGTTGCTGCTGCTGCTTTCTCCAGCCCCACAGCAGAGCTCGGCAGATCTCCTATCACCCCACTGCCCCCAGCGCTGCACCCAGTGACCCCACACCCCTGTGGGATCTGTTAGCAAGGCCGCTCCAAAATCCGTCACACTCCAGGCTCTGTGAGGAGAGAATTCTCAGCATTTTGCACGGACGCCCTGGCCCCAGCCAAATCCCTGCCCCGTGATGGTGTAAGCGATACGGTGCTTCCTGGTGCCTCCCGGCAGGGCTGCAACACCATCTGCTCGTGTCACTTTGGCAATTAGCAGGCTGTGCCCGCTGGCAGCGAGGAGCTGCAGCACAATTCCCCGTGGCATGGACTCACAGTAATGAGGAGGGTCGCTGCCTCATCTGTGCTTAATTAACACAGGGGCTTTGCCCAATCAGCGTATGGACCAGCTGAGGGCTTGCACACCCCGAGCTATGCTTGCCTGGAGGAATGGAAGCTAGAGCTGGCTGTGATACAGCTCTCTCTACAAGCCAAATTTTTCATCGAGCTGCTGTGGCCATACAGAAATGGCATGGCATGTGCTGGGGCTGCGTGTGCGTCAGAGAATTAGCTACTAAAGGTCAACGGTGATGGAAGAAGAGGGGCATCAGGCTTTGTGTCTTTATGGAGATAAGCTGGGGCACGGAGCTAGGCGCTGGGTTGAGACAGCTCCGTGCTGTGCATGAGGAGAGGGGAGAGAAAGGGGAACGCAGAGGTTGGGAATGGTTCCATCTGAGATTTATGGGTCATTTGTATTGACCTGAATTTATTAAGCCCACATGCTCTTCTCTCGTCCGTGAAGAAAATCAGAGCGGATCCACAGGTTCAGTCCTCTCTTTGTTTACAAAAGACTTTTTACCTCTGCTGAGGTTGCTATGGAAATGGCTCTAGTTTATGCCTCGTGTTTGTCTTACCAACCTGATTTATAAAAGAATGGCTTGAATTCAGAGCTGGCTGAGTTCCCAGCTGTCTGCGCTGGCCCTGGAAGGCATCCCTGCAGCCACAGCCCTGGCTGCTGCCATGCAAACATCTTCCGCATGCTGCCTCCCAGCTTGTGAGCTCCTGTCTCTGCAGCTCTCCCAGCTCGGGGTCCAAAACACAGCTTCCGAAAGTGGGGGTGTGAGCGACTGTGCCAGTTGCTGCTGGAGAACAGCAAATCAGTGATGGCCAGACACCACTATGTCTGGAGGGCTGCAGGGAGCAGCTGGACGCCTCAATTCTCTTGCCCAAAGCGTGGCTTGTGCTGACAACGACTTGCAGCTCTGGGAAACAACAGGCAGCTGCCTGTCATCGGACAGAGCCCACGCAAACAGCACGGGGAGACAGACCTGCAAGTAACACCCTCCCAAATGGCACACCTAGGTGTGGACCCTCGATGTACACGTGTTACTTTTGAGATGCATCTGGGGAGGAAAGACGAGATTGTCACTTGTGTCAGACCAAAACAGGATGGATATCGTTGCATCGCTGTAAAATAAAAAACCCTTGAGCTGGGATCTGGGCAGAACTGGGCTTGCAGGGAACACGGGATTTGCATCAGAGCAGTTCAGTGCAAAGCAAACAACAGTACTTCCTGATGCGTATCAGAGAAGCTCCTTTGTGTTCCAAAGCAAATGCATTCTGAGGTGTTCTCGTAACAAAAGGGATCCTTCCGGAAGCGCAGGGAGCTGTGCACAGAAAAGCCCTGCAAATCTATCAGGTAGGAGCCACCGCAGACAGCTGAAACACCCGAGAAATGCGGGGGGCTGCACGGCTGCAAGCTCCACATCTTCCTCCTTCTTCACGGCATCAGCCAGCATGCAGCACACCGCAGAGCAGCACCAACCTGTCCAGCCCACACTGAGCCCACTCTCCCGTTTTGCTGCTACATCTCCGTGTGCAGTGCAGAGAGCAACCCAGCAAAAGGACAGGAACGCACGTTTTCCAGGAGAACTAATGCCGTAATTAGGCAATTCGCTAATAGCCGAGGTGTGAATGGCTTATGGGGAGGCAGGAGGAGCAGCTGTCCTGCAGACACAGCCCTCGCAGCAATGAAGGGCTGTCAGCTCCCCAGCTGGCCAGGCCCTGATGGATGGGCATCCAGGGCTGGTTAACAGGCTCCAGAGATTTTTGGGGAGGGAATGTTTTTGTGAATGGATCGTGATGCAACCGTGGCCTGATTACAGAGCTGAGCAGCTCTCCCCACCCCAAAAAGCCATGTGTGAGCTGTGTCTGGAAGCTGTGTCTGCCATGCTGCCGAGCTGTGACAGTGCAGTCTGGAACCACGTACCAGTTTTCCCTGGGGATCCTCAGCAGAAAAGAGCACGCTAGGAAGATGTACGGCAGCAGAGCATGAGGCACTGCCTGCCTCCCTTGGGGATGGGGGTTGGAAAACATGTATGGGGAACACTGCTGCTAGGAGATGCTCCCCAGGGCTGTTAATTCACTTTTATCTGCTCCGCTCCAGGGTTGAAGGCGTTTCAACTTACACTGGCAACACACCAGACAATGAAAATGACAGACTGAGAGGAGAGGAAACCCAGCCCTGCGAAGGCTGGATGTGTCCTCAACCTCCCTCTGCTCAACCGTGATAAAAAATGCCCCCTCCTCCCTCCTCAGTGTGCCAGACCCACTCTGCTGGTCAGCCTGTGCCTCACCATAGCTGCCTCAGGCCAGCAGCGAGGTCTGTACGCACGCTGCATGACAGCATCCTCTCTCTTTCTACACAGCAAAGCTCCATGCTCAATGTTCTTGTGCTGTCCTTTTTGCAAGTGGTTTTATTTTAAAACTGGAACTTGAGTTCTCCATTTGTTTAACAAGTCCCCTTTTTTTCCTTTTTTTTAAATAAAATTAATTTATTCTACAGAACAGTAAACTCTTCCAGACTCTTCCCTATTTACAAATGAACATGTTTGTTTGCAGATCGCTGCTCCCCCCACCCCTCTCCTATCCCGTGACGCAGATGATGACAAATCAGCCAACATGTGAAGTTCTCCAAGGCAGTGCTCCCATCCACCGCCACCTGGGGACTGTGGGGAGAACAAGAGCAGTGACATCTGTGCCACATCTGGAGGTCCCCACTCAATCACTGTGTATGTAAAGGGAGTTTGTGTTAAATCCAGCGACACAGAGCATCCAGCTTCTCCCTACGTGAGCAAGGAGAAATATCCACTCCCACCGCCCCAGCCTTTGCATAGGGAGGTGGCCACTGGCAGGGCAGGGATTGAGGGCTTGTGTTTGCAACAGTGGGAGCTCCCAGCCCTCAGCAGCCCAGAAGGCAGCTCTCAGCTCTGGAGGAAGCTACAAGCCTCAAAGACAGGCTTGCAGCCTGTCTTCTTGATGTAGAAGATCATCCCTGCCCGTGGGAAGGATGAGAAGCGACTCCAGAGTTGGGACACACTTTGCTAGCTCAGGAAAGAAGGCACCTAACAAAAAAAATCTGATCCAAACCAAAACCAGACACCAGAATAACTCTTCAGGCAATTCACTGGGGTTCGAGCTTGGCTGTGGCTTGACTCTTACCCTGCATGAAGAACACAATCCCAGCAAGCAGCCTGGCCCCAGCATCTGTGCTCTCTCTCTCAGGTCTCTGCAGTGCAGGAGGGAGCTCCTTTTCATGCTGGAGATGTGCTGCAGGGGTCTGCTCAAAAGCCACCATGCTGCTAACAGGCAGAGACAGCACATGGTCCCTGCAGGCAGCAGTGCTGCCACGTGGCACTGGTGAGGGCAGGGTGGCACGTGAGCAAGGGAAATCCCAATGCTGTCAGCCCAACCCAGTCCCTGTGTTCCACCTGCACAGCCACACAGTTCCACCAGGAGCCACACTCCTTTCATTCTCTCTGGGTTTTTCAATTTCTATAAGAAAATAAAATAAAATAAAAATCTTCAATAGCATCTACTGAAGGTCTGTAGTGTTTGCACTCCTGGGGTGTGCTGTGGTGGCAATTTTGCTTCCAGCCCTGCACCTGGCCTCTGTCTGACCCCCTGGAGATACCCCAAGTAAGGGCTGATGTGAGTGGGGCTGGTGTTGTGTTTTCCAAAGTTTGCCTTCAATGATGGCAATGAGTGCTGTGGAAAGGAGGGAGAAGATTGCTGATACCTTTGTAGGCAATTCAAGGTTTCAGAAGCAAAGGAGAGGAAGAAAGGGGGCGTTCAGGGAGTCTCTACAAGGAGAAAAAGGACAAAGGAAGAGAAAGGGCAGGAAAGCAGGGAAAGACCTTCCTCCAATGAGATGCATCAAGCTTTGGACAAAAAGCCTTCTCCTGGCAGAGCATGGGAAACTTGTGCCCCAGAAACGCACAAGGATGGAGCTGTGCTGAGCATGGGGCACAATGCCTATAGGCACACAGACCTGTGCCTACGAGGACAGCTCTGCAGGGACACTTCCATCCCCATCCCAAAATGCCCAAACCTCAGTGCTGGGAGAACACTTGGTCAGGAGGGAAAGGGAAGGTGCCGCAAGCTTCAAAACAGCACTGATGCTTCCAACCTCGCACCCACTCAGTGCTGCCAGGTCCAGCTGGGCCATCACACAGGAGCAAGGAGGATGTCCTAGCCCCGGTGCTGGTGGTGGCAGTGAGGCTGGTGCAGCAGCAATGGGCACGGTTGCCCCGTGTCCCCCCATCATCCCGCCCCTAAGGGGCTCAGTAGAAGGAGTATTGGTTCTCCACTGCCCGGGTCCGACTGCGGGCGCCGTCAGCATCGTGATAGTCCTCAGTGCCGGTGGCAGCAGGCTCCGGCCGGCGCTCAGCGCTGTCGCTGCGGCTGCGGGGGCCCAGGGCTCCCTCCAGGCGGTGGTAGGGCGTGGGGACGGCGGGGGGCACAGCCACCCCCTCAGTGGGTGGTGGGACTGGCGGGGCAGCGGGCGCCGTGCTGCAGAAGTAGTGTGGGGGTGGTGGGTCGGTGCGGCAGAGCGGCGGCTGTGGCACGAGGGCTGGCGGAGGGCCAGTGTCTGCAAGGGAATCATGGAATATCTCAAGTTGGAAGGAACCCACGGCACCACTCAGAAATGAGACCATACGTCTGAGAGCACCGTCCAGATGCTAATGGAATGGGGAGCTCAGCCCCTCTAAGGGTGCCTGGGGGATGGTGCCTTCCCAAGCCCGTTCTCCCCATCCTTCACCCTGTGCACCCCAACCTTCCCTGCCTACCTTCTCCATGCCCCAGTGAGCTGTGCAGACCTCTAACCCTCTCCTATCTGAGCCAAGGATCCTAAGGAGACTCATTCATTTTTGGGTGGTGTTTTCTCTCAGAAAGAGTGGTGATGCAGTGGCACAGCTGCCCAGGGAGGTGGGGCAGTCCCCATCCCTGGAGGTGTTCCAGAACCATGGAGATGTGGCACTGAGGACATGGTGGGGTGGGCTGGTGTTGGACGTGGGGATCTGAGAGCTCTTTTCCAACCTGAATGGTTCTACGATTCTGTGGTTCTACGATCCCAGCCCCAATCCTCCCCACCAGCCCCAAACCCAACACGGCCCCAGCACCCACCGGGCTGCAGGCTCTGGGCCACCACGTAGCTCCGAAGCGTGATGTCCGCAGCGCCGCCTGACTCCAGCGGGATGGGGTGTGTGTGGAAGTGCCGCAGCATGTCGAAGATGCTCTGGAACCAGAGGTGCTGCACGTGGCACTGCCCGCTCTCGTTCAGCGACAGCCGGAGGTGCTGTGAGGACAGGACAGGAGGTGAGCTGCAGGTGGAAGGCCCCAACCTCGCTCAGCCTCGCAGCTGCCCGAGGTTGGCTCAGGAAGTCACCCACCTTGGCTTTCCCCTGGAAGTTGAAGGTCAGCACGTACTCCCCTGGCCGTGTCTCACTCTGCCGGATGACGAACAGGCCGTGGCTCCGGGCACCGCCGAACAGCACCAGCTGAGCCGCCTTGATCCGTGACAGTGTCCCATGGAACCAGGGGAAGTCAGAGAGGTTGATCTCTGTGTCCACTTCGCTGTCCTCTCCTGGCCGCAAGCACCACTGGGTTTTAGGGAGCATGTAGGCACTGCCCTCTCCCAGCCCCAACGACGAGGCAATGTGGCCACATGCCACATTCCCCCAAGCAAACCTACCTGCAAGGTGCGTGCTGGCTGTGGGTGCAGACTCCAGTGTCTGCAAGAAGCTCTCCAGTGGGACGTGGGCCAGCAGTTCCCCCACGGAGTCCCTGCCCCGGCCATGGGGTGTGGGCATAGCAGTGGTGGTGGCACTGTGAGCACCGGGCAGGGCACATCTATCCGGCAGCCTGTGCGCATCTGGAAGGAAACATTGATGCTCTCAAGCAAGAGCAGGCATGTCTCCATGATGGGGGCTAGCACGAGGACCCAAGCTCCCAGTCCACGCTGCCTGACAGGAGCTGCCCCACACACAGCAGAGGTGGCAGCAGCAGACACCTCCCGACCCCCATGGGATTTCTCACCATCAGCCAGGAACTCGCAGCTGCAGGAGGACGCCCGGCCCGGCAGGCAGGCTCCCTGAGCACAGGATGCCAACTCGATGTCATCCCCGCTATCCCTGGTGGGAGAGCACAGAGCAGAGGGTCACACACTACACACGTGGCATCACCCCCTGGAGAGACTCCTTTTGCTCCAGCCCCACCATCCCAACCAAATCCCAGCTTCTCAGCCTCAGCCCTTCCTCCCAGAGCACAAAAGAACCCGCAGCACTCAGTGCCATGGGATGGGGCATGGTGAGAAGCTAATGCACCACACACCCAGGCTGCCCCGTGTACTTGAGCACCATTGTTGAGCAAGCTCCCAGCTTGCTCACAGCCTATTTTTATCCACCCGTGGCATTCGGGTGCTCTTTTGCTTAACAGCAGCCACGTGTGTGCCAGCAGCCAGGAAGCGGCTGCGTTAGCGTAAGGGCTCACGGGGGAGCTGCTGAATTATTTAGTGGCCAGTAAGTGAATCAGCCACTGGGAGTCATTCAGCTGCAGCCACTTTAAAAAAAGAAAAAGAAAAAGAAAAAAAAAATAAATAAGAGTAGAAGGAAACCAAAACCGACAGAGCTCTGCAGAAATCCCGTTGCTGGGTGCTTACGCAGAGGTTTCAGCTCGGTTCCTTGGCAGGAGGACTGAGCGCTGCGTGCAGGAGCTGAATGAAAATTCATTCTTGGCACAGAGCGCGCATGGCAGCGTATGAAGCGGCTCATTATTATTTGCTGTGGAGTTCATTATTATTTGCTTTATGGCTGTGTCTGGAGGCCAGCACGGGGTTGTATATATTTAAAGAAGCACACAGCTGAATTTCCCCAGCAAAAGGCAGCTTTGGGGACAAGCTGATGTGGGGAGGGGGGCACAGGAGGCAGAAGGGAGCTCCCCAAGCTCCCATCCCAGCTTTGTTCAGGGCTCTCACTCCTAAAAGCTCCCTTTGGAAGCCATGGCAAGAAGGGCAGTGCTGGAGCTCCCTGGGGGAGTGTGCCTGCAGAGCCTTCATTATGGCACGGATACTGGGCTGGAAATAAAAGGATGGGAGGTACGGCTGATACTGAGTGCACGCTCTGTAGGGTGCACCTCTGACACACAGCAGTTGCTGACTCTGCCTCCAGATTTTTGCCCCAGTGAATTAGGGACTTTCTGCAATATGCCGGGCAGCAGAAATTGCATCAGCTGGGGTCTGTTCCAAGCCAGTGGTCTGTGAGGGCTGCCTACCAGTACCAGCAGCCAGCCCACCACTCTCTCTGGGCTGTACAGGGGAACTTTTCACTTGCTGGAACAAGACGATTTTCCTTTCAACAAGAACATCATGTCTGAATCGTGCCCAGGTCATGTCCTGACCGAGTGGGGAGAAGGGGGTGCAGTGTGCAGGGGGAGCCCAGCCGTGCCCATGAGCCTTACCCAGGGTCAATGCAGTCCTGGATATCTGCCACCCACGAGTGTTTCTGCAGGGAGTCAATGGTCTCCAGGATGTATTCGGCACCGTTCTCCACCTGGAGGTGAGTCACAACAGTGTCAGGTCATGTTTAGAGTCCTGCACCCCCCACCAGGCAAAGCCAACCCCATAACACAGTGGGACAGCAGCCACCTCCACATCTCCGTACTGCCACTAATAACTTCTTGCTTGGAGGACACTGAGATGTCTCCATCCCAGCAAAGGGATGGCAAGGGGTGACCCAGAGATGCTCAAAGACTGTGAACCCAAAGGGTCTGGGCTGCTCTGAGGCTGGGAAGGGTGCAAACACCATATGGCAAGAGGGGAGCAGTGGGCACCAGGAGATAGATGCTGCTGCCCCATCCTTCCCAGACCCCCTGCATGACCCTGAGCTGGGAGGAGCCCTGACTCTGGGAGGGTATCGCATTGCCAGCCAAGAGCCTTCTTGCTAATTAAATTAATGGCATACAACTGAATCACTGTCCTGAAAATAAACAGGGAGCAGTGCCCGGGGCGAGCAGCACCCGGTCCCCTGCCATGCGCCAGCTGCAGGGGAGCAGCAGAGCCCCGTTTTGTTTAACCAACGGTTTGCAGCTTGGGAGAGCACAGTGCTCCTTCATGCACAGCATGAAAGCAAGCAGAGCATGTGCAGGGCTCGGGTATTTTGCAAGCACTGCTTGTGCAATGGAAAAAATGCGTGTGCTTGGTGTCTGATGTGCGGCAAGAATGCACCGTCTGCTAATTGCTGGGTGACTGAGCATCATGGGGTCCAGCGTGGTCCCTCTGCATGAGGCAGGGGCTTTCCCACCCATGGGTGAAGGCTCTGCATCAGTCCCAAGTGCAGAAGGCAGCAGGGGCTGCTCCCCAGCCCCTGTCCCACCACTCTGATCCATGCCCCAGCACCGAGGGGGGCGCCAGCCCTCTGCAAAGGGCGATAGCAACAAGCAACAGGAATGAGGCCCAGGGCAGAAAGTGAGCCACGAGGGTGTCAGAAACACACCATGAAAGGGAAATGCGGGAGGGAGCACAGCGGGAAAGGGGCAGCAGATGATGCTGAATGAGTCCCTGGGGTTGACTCAGTGCTTGGTGCCTCACAGAAGAGATCGATGGCAATCGTTTAACCCTGCAGGCAGAATGGGGCAGGAGCAGGTTAGAGGGTATACAGGGAGGGGATAATTACTGAGAAGGTGGGAGCAGTGCTGGAGTCAAGGCAGTGGAGGAAGAGCAGCAAAAGGGGGCTGAGATTTTACAGGGATCTGGAAACCATGATCAGAAGAAATGATGAGCCATATTCCAAGAGCAAACACTGATAGTTAATGGCCAAAGCAGAGGAGATGCTGAGCTCTGTGCTCACAGCCCTCACAGCCCCACTCATGCTGACATTCAGCAGTGACGAGGACAGAAGGAAGGAGGAGAGGATGGATCCCTGATCAATTCAGAGATGACACCACGCTGCAGCGTGCTGGAGGATGATGCAAGAACTCCAATGAATGCCCTGATGCTGAGAAATCAGCTTTGAAAGAAAAAGACCCAGGCAGCTCTACATCAAGGGCATGGCGCTGACGCCAGCAGGGGAACCACGGCTGCAGAGTGCTTCTGCAAAAAGCACGGCAGGGTTAGGGCAGCTCATGAGCTGCTGTGAGTCAGCGGCATCCTCTGGGCATGGAGACAGCCAGAAGATGCGCTGGGGCTGAGGAAAGAGGAAGAGGAAAGGAGAAGCGATGCAAGGAGAAGCGATGCTTCCTGCTGACTCCGGGCTGCTGCACTGCCTTCACTTTGAGGCACGTGGGGAGGACCAACATCAACAGGGCCTGAGGGAACAGCATGGAGCTGTGTCAGGGGAGGGTCGGGCTGGTGGTTAGGAGAAGGTTCTGCACCAGAGGGTGTTGGGCACGGAACAGGCTCCCCAGGGCAGGGGGCACAGCCCTGAGCTGCTGGAGTTCAAAGAGCATTTGGACAGTGCTCTCAGATGTGTGGTAAGAGCTGGACTTGATGATTCTTATGGATCTCTTCCAACTTGGGATATTCTACGATTCTGCGGCTGGGGCCATGCAGTGCACAGTGAGAAGATCCCTGCTGCCACCCACCCCATGGTGCTTCCCAACACTGCCACCTGAGCCTGGGATTTGCCACAGAAGGCTGCTGCCTGTCAGCAGGGAGCATTCAGTTAATTGCGTTGTAAGGAGAATGATTTCTCTGGGGTCTCTAGCTGGGGATGGATTCAGTCTCTCTGCTCGCATCCCTTGCAAATTGTCTCTGGATACCCATTTCAGCACTCTTGTAGTGATGGGGTAAAGCAAAACACGATGGCAAAGCCAGGCAAACACCAGGGAGGCGGGGGAGTCACCATCTCTGGAGGTGTTCACAAACTGTGCAGATGTGGCACTGAGGGACACTGTCAGCGGGGGTGGGCTGGGGATGGACTTGGGGATCTGAGGGGTCTTTCTCAACCTTAATGATTCTATGACTGCACCTCAATCCCAATATACCTTGGCATCAGGTGGATGCTGTGTCACTGTGGGAGCCCCAAAGGAGAGCACAGCATGGGAAGGCAGGGCAGTAGCAGCATCAGTAATGCTGGGGCAAGGAAATATCCCTGGGGCCAAAGCATCCCTGCAATGGGGTTGGATGTGGGGCTGGATGCCCACCGCTGCCCCTACCCTCACCTTCAGCACAAAGGTGTTGTCCTTGTCAGGCATCTCCAAAGGCATGGTGGTCCGCACCTCGATGATGGCTGACAGTGGGATGCTCACCTTGGGCTTGGAAGCCTGAAAAAAAAAGAAATAAAAGAAAAAAGAATGAGAACAAACAAACAAATAAATCAAATCAATCAATAAATAATAAAAAGTCTTCGCTCAGTCGAATCAAACTGTCCCAGGGGGGAACGCAGCTCTCAGCAAGGCAAGATAGCAGCTCAGCCCACACGCTTGTTACGGGGGGGTGGGGAGATAAAAGAAAAAAATTAAAAAAAGCATTGATTTCCCTCATGTGCCTGATAACTCTGAGCTCTTTTAATTAAATGAAGAAAAGGCCTGGTGGAAGATGGGGAAGTTCATGTGCTTGTCTGCCAAGCCTCCTTGCTGCGGCACTGGCATCCCGACGGGGCTGGTGATGAGCACTGGGCTGCAGGTTACCAACAACAGGTTCAGTTCCTATTTTTTTCTTTTTTGCCTTTCTTTTAAAAAGGGGAAAAAAGCTAAAAGCTGAACTATGAGAACAGGAACTGTTCCTTTCCCCTCTGGGATGTTTCATTTCCACCTCTGCGATCCGCAGCACCACCTCCACGTGTGCTACGTGGGGCCCAGCACTGCTGTGTTCTTCCATCCGCGTTTCCACCAGACAAGGTGAGAAAGGCAAAACCCAAACTCCTCATTCAGCAGCGGGCAGGGAACAGCCTGCTCCTGAGGAGTCTTCCTGCACCCCGTGGGAAGTGCTATTAATGGCCACGGGGGCATCTCTGCAAGTGTATTTTCCCCTTTTTCTAAGCCTTTGGGCGCTCAAAACAACTGTCAGGGATCCCTGGGCTCATTGCTTCCCACTAAAGCAGTAGTTAAGCAGGGACGTGATGGGATGAGGGGAGAAGGAAAGGAAAACTGAAGACAGAGGGCTGTGATTACAGCAGGCTTTCCTTCCCATGGCATTTAAATAACATGAGATTTCTATTCTAACACATCTAGTAAGGCCCCAGGGAATCACTTACTATTTGCCCCAGGGCTGCCAAAGATGAGCACACACAGCACAGATGAGGCTCTCGAAGCACAGGGGAGGGCTGGGTAGCACAAGGACAGTTGGACATTAGGAAAATCTTCTCCTGAAGAGTGGTGATGCAGTGGCACAGCTGCGCAGGGAGGTGGGGGAGTCCCCATCCCTGGAGGTGTTCCAGAACCGTGGAGATGTGGCACTGAGGGATGTGGGCAGTGCTGGTGGGAGGTGGATGGTTGGACTGGGTGATCTTAGAGGTCTTTTCCAACCTCAGTGATTCTATGATTGTTCTAAATGAATTATCAGTTTGAAAATAAGGAGTGCCGAGTCCAAGTGTGGGACCTCCTGGTGGCATGTGGAGCACTCTGCAAAGTGTTGGGGAGAGCAAAACCTCCTCGTGTTCAGGACATTGTGCATCCCAGCATGGCAGTGAGCTTCTCTGCAACTACCAATGCCTTGGGCTGAGCCAGCAGGCTGGGCTTCAGCACCTTTCCAAAGATCACTGGGGATGAGAACCGGTGCTTCTGTGGATGGGACCCAACTGTGTGTGCATTCATGTCTCAACGCTCAGCACCACACCTCCCCAAACCCACCAAGCACAACTGCTGCCTCAACTTCACCCCAACACTTCCAAGGACCTCAGCCAGGCCTTACCTTGGGAGGGACGTAGAACTCGAGCAGGAATCTCTCCCCTTCCACCTTCACGGCCTTGCGCAGCAGGAGGCGGCACTTCTGCCACTGTGAGCTCCCCACACAGTTCGTGTCATCGGCCACCATGTAGCGCAGCGTGCCCTCCCTCTGGATGTCCACCAGCTCCACCTTGGAGGACTGTGCCTTGGACAGACGCAGCTTGTGGGTCCACTTCTCCCGGGGGTCACCGGGCTCCTTGCCCCATGGCTCCCTCTCGGTCCTCCTGGTGCCTGGAGCCGCCTCGGCGCCCGGCTCGGGAGAAGACCTTCGGTGCCACATCTCCTTCATGCCGTCCACCACACACAAGCTCATGTTCCTCAAGGAGAAGCCCTTTTTGAACTTGGGCTTGGCGGAGGCGTGCACGGAGACATCCTCCGAGCTGCGGGACTGGCCATAGGAGGACACTTTGCGGGCCTGCGCCTGCTGCACCGGGCTGAGATAGCGGCCGGCACCCAGCGGGGCCTCCATGCTGTCCAAGGACTCGGTGGACGTCTCCTCCTTCCGCTGGGCCACCTCCCGCCCGTAGGGCACGTGGCAGTTCTGCAGCCCCACGAAGGGCACGATGTTGTACTTGGTGGGCGAGTCGGAGACGAACACCCGGCTGACCTCCACGCTGAAGATATCCAAGAAGTTGGCGGCGAAGTGATGGGAGAAGGAAGCCTCGGCGCCCGGCGTGTCGTAGTGCGGGTTCTCCTTCAGGAACTGGCAGAACTTCTGGGCGAAGTCGACGGCGGCCGCCTGGGCGTGCAGCTCGCAGAACTCACGCCAGTCAGGGAGCGGGGAGGAGGGCTCCTGGCACAGGGCATCGCCGTTCATGGCTGCCCCATTCCACCTGGCGGCGGGCTGTGGGCAAGGGCACAGCGTCAGCATGGCCGCGACGGCCCCCCGCAGCTGGTGCGGGTCTGCAGCCCCAGCACAGAGGGGGAAACGCTGTGGGAAAGTGGTTTTGTGCTCTTTCCTCTCCCTCTGCCGCACTGGAACCAAACGTGGCCCTGGCAGCAGCCATAAATCGTACTTATTTTATGATTATGACCCATTCAAAAGTGCCATTGATTTCTCATAAAACCACCGAGGAGTGTGTGACCGGAGCAGCCCAGGGACCTCCAGGCCCATTACCATCATTAGACCCCACAGCCTCAACAGAAAGCCCCAGGGATCAACAAGTCCATGGGTTAAAGGGAAAAATCAACCAAGAAAGCAGAGCTGGAGCCAGCAGGAGCTGAGCAGAGGTAAAGGCCAGACCCACGTTGCCATGGGAGAAGCACCCAACGTCACCAACCTCTGCCCAAACTGTCAACACGAGTTGGGAGTGTGAAGCCTGGCTTTTTCACTGCCTCGCAGTTCCCCATGTGCTTCTCTGCCCCACTCACACAGCAGGGAAATCCCCGGCCTTGCAGTTAGGGATGTCTTTGAATTTCCCCAAGAGACAGCAGGAAAGCAGCGTAAAATGCAAAGCTGTTTGTTACCAGGCCAGCAAATGCAATTCTCACACATCCATCCATCACTGGCACAGAATTTAAAGGCTCAGCTACTGCCCTTCAGCACTACAGCACACGGCTGCAGCTCCCTGAGCACACAGCAGCCCAATAGGGATTTTGGGGAGACAAAGAGGGTCTCCTGCTGCCAATCCAAGTGGGCATGGCCAGCATCACCAGGAAGACAGCTTTGCCCTGGGGGCTGTGCTTCTCCCCATTGATCCCAGGAGGGATGGAGCAGGAGAGAGACTGCCCAGAACTGAGGGGTTGCCAAGATGTGACACCCAGAGAGATTAGAGAGGGGGAAAAAACAAACAACAAAGCCCAAAGCACTTCAAAAAATGATAAACCCCAAACAGAAAGCCGGGCCACCCAGCCGCAATGGAGACACGCACACAGAGGCATCACAGCATCTTGCTTTCATCTGCACAGGGATGACAGAATTTCAAAGGGCAATTTATAAAAATGGAGCCTAGAGGAGCAATGATTTGCAGGCCTGGAGGAGGCAGTGGGGTGCACAGCTCCCCATCATCCCCTGCCCATAGTAGGTCCAGGACCCCTCTTTGGGAGCAGCAGGGGGCTTGGGGCACCCTCCAACACCGCAGAGATGTCCCCCCCTGGCAGGCACTCCTTTACCTGATTCCTGCAGGAAGCAGCTCCCAATTATCTCTGCAGATTTACCTTTCATCTCGGTGCCTCCGCTCCCCTCCATGCCAACAGCACTGCCCCACTTCTCAAAATAACTTCCATGGCACAGACAGCATCCCCAGGCGGGGCGCTGGGAGGCAAAGCAAGCAGCAAATCCACAGGGGCTTTTGGGAGACTGCGGGCAATTCACCCTTAGCCCCACTGCCCAGGTGCTGTAATGTGCTCCCATGGAATAAGGCAGAGCCCTTGGCAAGGGAGGTCTGCCAGAGGTCACAGACAGAACATAGGAATATGGGAATCACCACTGAGGTTGGAAAAGACCACTAAGGACATCAAGTCCAACCCACCCCACCCCACCGTGCCCACTGACTGCAGCCCTCAGTGCCACATCTCCACAGCTCACAAACACCTCCAGGGACGGGGACTCCCCCACCTCCCTGTGCAGCTACTGCATCACTGCTCTACGGGAGAAGAAATTGTCCCTAATATCCAACCTGAACCCCCGTGGTCATAGAGTGACTTCAGGGACCGTGGGGCACCCAGCCAAAGACGTGGGCTGTCATTGCCTCTAACCCACCTGCACCTCAAATGCCACCGGGGCAGAGCCGCGTCCCGCTGCTGCTGTCACTTGGGGGGAAGCAAGTCAAGATTTTAGAAGGGGAATGAATGAATGAATAAATAAATAAATAAAAAGATTCCTGGGGAGCGGCCAAGTGGAAGCCCAGGTTGCAGTGTGAGCCAGCTGCTGGCAGCCAGGCCATGCCAAGCGCTGCCGATAAGCCGCAGGGATGCGCCCCGTGCAGCGCCGTAAGAGTCGGCACACAGCAGGAGGAGGAGAAGAGAGGTGAAGAGAGCTTCTGACCTCCAAAAGAAGAAATGAAATTTCGGCCGTCAGCAGAAGTGCAAAGGACCACGGAAAAAAACCAAAACAACAACAAAAAACAACAGGTCTCCGGTGAGGTGGGAGTCAGGACAAAGCCGCTGGGATTTGCTGAACCAGAGGAGTAGGGAGGAACTAACAGCTAATGAGGTGTTAATAACGCAGTGCCGGCCACGGGACAGCGGAGCAGCCAGGCCAGCACTTGCTCCAAGGGCTTTATTTAAGGAAACAACCCTAATAAAGAGATGTTTCCTTTCCGCCCCACACAGCGTGGCCAGGGGAGGAAAGTCAGGCAGAATGGCACGCAACCTTCCTAGGGTACGGCACCGCAGGGACCCGCGGCCATCCTGCAGGGAGCGCTGGGGTCAGGGGTGTGCAAGGAGGAGGTCCCGCTGCTCAGCTTCCAGCAACATCGATGCCACTCAAAGGAAAGCCGGGCACCTGCTCACCCCCAGCACAGGGGCTGACCTCAGCCGTCCCCACGTGTCCGCGCCGGGAGATCCCTGGGTCACGAGCGGGCGCTGCAGCAATGTGACACCGCGCGGTCCTTGGTGCCGCTGCTGGCACGGTGAGCAGAGCGCAAGGCCCCGGGGCGCTGCCAAAGAGGCTAAAAACAGGATGGGGACCGCGCCGGGGGCACGGCGAGCATCGTGCCCAATGCACTGCCTTCATGTTTGCTATGCGGCCCATAGGGATGGGAGATGGAGACCCAGCCACCTCCTCCTGGTGGCCTTTGTGCCGCCGCCAGGGCCCCAGACCGGCTCTGTGTGTGGTCAGAGGGACAGAAAGCCGTAACAGCAATAACAGAATGCCTGCCAGGGCACCTTCTTGGGGAAATAAGGGTGCTTTTGGTGCAGCAGGACACTGTTCTGCTGTCCCAACGGGTGCTGTTCACCTGCCCGGCTCCAGGAGTGTCACTGCACGCTGTGATCCACCCTGCTGCTATTTTTACCCCCACAATAGCAGAGTGGTGGCAGAGCCCCATCCCAGCCCGGCGAGCTCACGTTTCCCTCGCTAAGCCTCAGCTTCCTTCCGCCTCTCGGCCCACAACAAATCTCTCCTCCTCTCAACTTCCCACTCCAACAGAGCCCACGCTGGGCGCCTCTGAGTGCTGTGCCTTAAGCACTCACCCTATAGGGCCATAGAGGGCTCAGAGGAGTTGGTTTGGGGCACAGCGTGGCACGGCACAGCTTTTCCCAGCTCTCAGCTGGGATCTCCATCCCTTAGGGGATGGGAAGGAAAACCCCAAGATTGTTTTTCAATTACGGCTCATAATGAACACGGGATAAAGTTACACAGGTCTGTATGCGTTGTCTCTCAGGCGCGTGCGCCGACAGCATCCGATGGCACCCAGATGGGGAAGCGGGGCTCTGCCCTACACCACAACGCTCACAGCCCGGCACTCAATGCAGCACAACAGCTCCATAGAACCCCTCTGAGCTCCACGTCCCTTGAACAGGCGATGCCCGGAGGTCCCACATATCTCACTCCCCCTTTGCTGTGCTGGGTACAGCATGGGGGGCTCTATCTGCGGATGCTCCCCCCACAGCAATACTCCACTGCCAGGTGCACAGAACACCACCAGGACACCCTGCAGCTGCCACGGGGAAGATGGAACCTTTGCTGCTCTGCTCGCCCCCAGCTCGGAAGCGCGGCGCTGGGGAATGCCAAACATCCACAGACTGTGCACCCAACAGCAGGTGCTGTGAGTGCTCAGGGCTTTCCCCCCTCGAAAAAAAATAAAAATAACACCATCAGGTGTGGGATGACAGCTCTGTCGCAGTGGGGGGGATTTGGACTGAGGAAGAACGGGGCACCCCAAGATGCACGAAGGCAGCAGATGTGCGGCCACCACTGGGTTTCTGATTCTGCATTTGTCAGCCCACCCTGGGGAAGAGGAAGAGGAGGAGGAAGGGCTGCAGCACCCGCAGTGTGCAGACACCAACGTGTCTCCGAGGAGGAATGAGAGCAGTTGGGTGAGAACCACGAAGGTTGGCCGCGACCACTGTGACCATTCAGCCCGACCATCGCGAGACCCCCTCGGTGCCGAGCAGGGAGCAGAGCCGTACAAAGCCCAGCACCATCACAGCGCCGGCACGCGAGGGCCGTCTGTGCTCCATCCCGGCTGCAGCCCCGAGCGCAGCGCAGCCCCGCGGTTACCTCCACTCCCGGCGCAGCTCAGCGTGTCCCCGGGGCAGCGCGCTTCCACCCGCGCAGGTGCATGGCTCAAAGCGACGGATCCGTACGGCCGAACACGGCTCTAGGAGGGACCTGGAGGGCAAAGTTGGACGCGCTCAGCCCCACCGGAGCGAGAGCGGCGCTTCGCATCGCGGCGGATCTCACCCGCGGGGCACCGCGGAGCCCCACAGCCCCGAGCAGCGGTCCCAAAGGCCGCACAGCGCTGCGGGGAATGCGGCAGCGCCGGGGGGGAGACCCCGGGAGGGAGGGGGGATAAAGGGGGTAGGGAGCGGAGCTGCTGTGCACCCGGAGCTGGGAGGGGAAGGCGCCCCCCCCCCCCCCCACGCCGAGAGCCGCGCGGGAGGCGTGCGAACCTCATGCAAATAATGGAAATAAACAAATAAAGCCGTAGGTAAATAAAAAAAAATAGAAAAAAATCAAAGCTCGCCTCTAAAGGGCCGCGCGCGCGCAAAGCCGCGTTGTGTCCGCGCCCCCCCCCCCCCCCCCCACCCCCCCCCACCCCCCCCCCCCCCCCGGGGGGGGGGGAGGGGGGGCCCCCCCCCACCCCCGCATCGAAACGCGGGGGTGCGCTCCGCAACGCTGCGATGGGGGGGGGGGATAGCCGGGAAACCGGTACCGCCCCCACCTCCCCCAGCACCGCCGCACGCAGCCGCGCTCCGGTACCGGAGGATGCGCTCACCCGGCCCGGCACGGCCCTGCTCGGCCCGGCGCTCGGTGCGGCTCCGCCGGGGCCAAGGCTGCCCGCCGCACAGCCCGGCCCCGCCACCGCCCCCCGCTCCTCCCCCCGCTTTAAAGGGCCCCGCCCGGCGCTGCTCCGCGCTGTGCTCTGCCGTGCCGTGCCGCCCCCGGGTCAGACGGCGTCCCCCAGGGCACCCCGTGTCCCGCAGTTCCATAGGGCACATCCCGCATGGCACCTCGTACCCTACAGAGCATCCCACATGCCGCAGGGTTACCCCACATGACTCCCCGCATCCTGCCCGGCCCCCCATATCCCTCACAACATCTCACCCCTTCAGGATACCCCAAATCCCATTGCATCCCGCAGGGTCATCCCGCATCCCCATCTCCCATCTCACAAAGCCTCATCTCCCACATGGCACCCCGTATCCCACGCTGCACCCTGCATCCCAAATGCACCTCACATCCTGCAGGGTACCCCAAATCCCACAGAGCACCATATATCCCACATGCCACACAGGGTACCCTACCGAATGCACAGCCCCCACTCCTGCAGGCACCCCATATTCCCCAATTCTGTGATCCTATGATTCCATATCTCATCCTGCATCCCTCATGGCATTGCGCACAGTACCCTGCATTCCACAGCAGCCCCACATTCCACATCCCACCCTGCAGCTCTCGTGGCACCCCACACCCTGCACAGCATCCCAAACCCCAAAGCATTCCATCCCACCCTGCACTCCCATCATATAAGGCTCCCTGCCTCCTCCACACACCCCCATTCCATATCCCACCCTATATTTCACATGACACCCTGCATCCTGTACCCCATTTCCTCCTCCAGCATCACCCCGAGGGACAGCACCTCCATGCTTCCCATGTGACCCTAAAACTCATTTTCCCACTGCTTAGGGGAGGGGGCTGGGGACCAGCAGCCCCCCGGGAGCGCACCCAGCCCCAGGCTTTGCCATGCAGCAGTATCAGCCCCAGGTCAAGGTGTCAAGGTCTGTGGGTCGGAGCTTGCCTCGCTGTCCCGCTGACATATTTATAGGGCCATCGCCGTCCCTGCCAAGGGGGTCAGGACACGGCCATAATCCTCCTCTCGCTGCAGGGGGACCGGAGCCGGGGGAGCTTTAAGCGATTTACTGCAGGGTCACATTACGGAGGGGGCCTCCCTGGCAGGCGGATCAGGATGACTCACCAAAAAATGCAACGGGGATTTGCGGGAGGAACAAATCCTTTTTAGTTCTGCAAAGCACCTGTAGGATTAAGGCAATGCTGGTTATGTAAGGGGCAGAGAGGGGAAGGTTTGTTAGTGTTATTGTTGTTATTTATTGTGCTTCCTTGCCGTCCTTTTACCTTACAGGGCGTCACTCGGCGGGATTTTTGGAGAGCTTTGGGATGTGCAGGGGACATGGAACCAGGGCGGCTGTGGGACCGGGGCTGTGCCTCATCCACATGAACTGTGGGGCAAAGGGTTTTCCTCCAGCCTGGGGTTTGCCAACTGGGCTTTGCTCAGCGGTCCTACAGAGCACCTCCGGCCTGTTGGGGCTATGGGGCAGCCCTATAGGGTTCTCTGGGGCACTGCATGGCCAGAAAGTGGTGTGTGCCATCAGCCTCTTGGACCCTGTGGGTTGGGTATGGCCAAATCCCTGGATAGGAGGAGCTGTTGGTCACCGCTGCAGGTCTGGGAATGGGCTGAAATGGACCATAGGGTGGGTGGGGGGGTCACTGGTGTGAAAGGGGGAGAGGGAAGAGACCTGGAGACAGCTGTGAAACCCCAAAGCCCACAGCGATGGGGAACTGCAGGGAAACCCCACTGGGGCCCTCCTGGAGCTGCTCCTGGCCACCCAAAGGGCAGTACGAAACCACTGTTGCCCTTCTTCCCCTAAAAGACCGCCAAGGGTGCACCCCATGACCCCCCCATGCATGGGGACCTGCAGAGCCCCATCCCCTCGTGTCACCTCGCAGCATCGCTCCTACAGCAGCACAGACAGAGCTCGCAAGGACCGGCGCTTGCAGAAGGGTTTCCATAGCGACCAGCACCCGAAAAGCCCCAGATCCCAGCTGCTCTGCAAGGATGTGGGGCTGCTGCTCTGTGTGCCCCCCAGCAGCACGTTGACCTTGGGTATTGCTGCCCCCAGGATGAATTCTTGGGGGTGGCATCTGTGCAATGGGGACAGAGCTCCGTGCAATGGAGACAAAGCACCATGCAGTGGGGGCAAAGCACGAATGCAAAGCATTAAGGATCAATTTCTATGCAGTGGGGACAAAGCTCCTCTCAATGGGGACGAAGCACCAGTGCATCACACAGAGGACAAAACATGAATGCAATAGGGGCAAAGCTCCTTGCAAGGGGGAGAAAGCTCCGTGCATGAAGACAAAGCTTCACATAATAGGGACAAAGCATCAGTGCACTGCACGGTGGGGACGAGACCCCAGTGCAACAGGGACAAAGTTCCACTCCATGGGAACAAAGTGCCAACGCACCACACAGTGGGGAAAACCTTAATGCAATAGGGAGAAAACTCCACGCAGTGGGCACATGGGGGAACAAAGCAATGCACTGTGCAGTGGGAACAAGACACCGAGCTCCATGCAATGGAAGCTCTGTCAGCGATGCTGGGGGGTTTGCGGGGGCCGGGATGTTGTCACCCCACCTCTGGGCCCAGCTGCCATTGGGTGAGTGACAATCCCCACTGCCACCTCTGGTTCTGCTCGCTCCAACTCTGCGGGTCAATCAATCCCTGTGTGCATGGGCTGGGGGCTCTCTTGGGGTACGGGTGCTCCGATATTGGGGTGCTGGGACATCTGGGGTGCTGGGTGGGTGCAACATGGGATGGGCAGCAGCAGAGGCCGTGCTCCCTGCGAGGTTACATTGCACTGCCACCAAAAATAACCACATATAACAGAACCACCTATCGATCCCCAGGGCCGGGCTGCACCCAAGGTTAACCCTTTGGGTTCAGTTCCTATATTTCCAGCTGCAGTGCCACGGGGCAGCGGGTGCTGCTGGCTGTGGGTGTCTGCGCTGTGTGCAGCCGGCGCTGCTGAGCGCGATCGATTGCAGCGCTCCATTTGCAGAGCACGGACACGGCGCTGCCTCGTGGCTATGGAGACCCAGCACTGCTGTGGTGACAGCAAGAGAAGAGCTGCGCCCCCGCCGTGGCCCCCAAAATGCAACCAGGGTCTGCGTGAGCAATGTGCAGGTTAGAGGGATACAGAAAGCACGGGTTTTCCTTTAATTATTTCCCTGAATGGCTGTCGATACTAATTAAGACTGTTTCCCATAATCAAATTTAAAGCAGCGAGGGAGAGCAGGGGGCTGCCGAAATCCTTCTCTCTTGTGCTGCACTGGGATCAAAGCGGCTTTCAGAGTAAATTAGCAACAAGCTCCCATCTCCCCCAGCAGCTGCAGCACTGAAGGACGGCGATGTCTGAGGAAGGGGTCCTGGCAACCCTGCAAAAAAAATAGGACAAAATAGGACAAAAAGGATAAAAACTGCCACTCTTCTCCTCAGCGTAAGGATGTCTATCAGCTGCTCAGTGGGGATGGGGATGGGCCACAGCCGCTCACTGCTCAGGGATGGGGATGGGCATGGGTGTGAGCAGAAGTGGGGCTGAGGCTGTGTTTGGGATGGAAAGGGAAGGGAAAAGGATGAGGGAAATCCTGGTCAGCCCTGCACCGTCCTCTTGCTGTAGGGATGGGGGTTCTGCCATCCCTGCATCCAGCGTGGCAGACTCCTAGGATCATTGAGATGGGGAAATCACCACCGAGATCATCTCATCCAACCACGCATCTGAGCAAAACATCCCGGAAAGAAAACCCCAAACAATTCACTCAATGCATAGCTGTTTATTTAATCACTCATCCTGCAGAACTCTACATTATTCAGAATGATTTACGAAGAGTACAAGTGTGAATAGCAGCAGAGGTTCCAAGCCACTCTACGTAACATCTAAAAAAAGCCAATAGAACTGTCCCAGCAAAGCCCCAGCGAGCAGCCCACCCCTCCCTGGATCACATTTCCCAGCAGCAGAGAGCAAATATCATCACCTAAAGCCAACGGGCTCACAGGGGAGCAGCCCTAACACCCTGCCCTCACGTGGTGCTGAGCATCCCATGGCCCCGGCTCCATGCTTACTGTACCCATCCTCAAAGTGCCGTGGGTCGGTCTTACCCCGCACTGGGGCTACTGGTTCCCAACAGGGGCTGAAGGTGCAGCGTTGCCCCCATCCAACGAAGCAGAAAGCGAAGCGATAGCGAAGGGCCGGATCCTGCAGCGGGAGGAGCGGCGCAGGCAGGCTGTCATTGCCACATGTCACCTCCATCTCCATTCTCGTGGAACTTGTGCAGGTGGTCGGCGAACCTGGGGAAAGGGCCGGGTTAGGGCGTTCCTCCAGACATGGGGGGAGCCAAGAGATCCCACCTTGCCTTCACTCCGTCTTCTGCTGCTTTCCCAACCCAACCCCCAGCCTCGCTTGCAGCACCCGGCTCTGCTCAGCCCCCCGTTGCCACCCCGGCCCACCCAGCCCTGCTCACACCCACTTCTTGGCGCAGAACGCAGCGCAGTCTCTGCCCACGCTCTCACTCCAGGCAGTTTTGTAGAGAACCTGCAAAATAAGGAATGCAATTGGGGTGGGCCTGTGTGCAGGCCTCTCCCTCATGTGCCCCCACTGCGGCGTCCCATCCCTACCACGACATCCCGTCCCCGCCATAACATTCTGCGACATCCCATCCCTATCATGACATTCCAACTCAGCACGATATTCCAATCCATCAGGACACCCCATCCCTTATGATGACATCCCAGCCCCACTGTGACATCCCTGCCATGACATCCCAACCCCATCATGACATCCCTGCCATGACATCCCAACCCCATCATGACATCCCTGCCATGACATCCCAACCCCATCATGACCTCTCATAATATCCCACCCATGTGAAACATCCCTTCCTCACCATGACATGACATCCCTCCTCCCCACAGCATCCCACCACATTCCCATCCCCAGCAGTGCTGCAGGAGCAGCAGCTTTGCCC